TCAAATTACTCTTTTTAAAAATAATAATAATAATAAATCTTATCAAGTCCCACTTTATAAACGATGTGTTCTAGTGATATAAACTTAGATTTATTTTTAATTTATATTTTAAAATAATCACTGCCACCCGGCTCACAGTTCCTTAAATTGGTGCCATCACCTAGCAGGGGTTGGGGTGCAGCCCTCAGTGTTCACCAGCCAGCAGGGTTGAATTCCTGTTCTGGAACCGTATGGCAGTGATTGTCAAGCCATGCCTTGATGGCATCAGTCTATTGATATAATTTGAGCCCATTGCTCACAACTGGGCTGATACCATCTTGGTTTCTGCTCTCTGCCACTGATACGTGCTATTGTGGCCGTCATAGTATCATGAGGCTGATGTCAAGGATATAATTCACGTCTTTTGCACCTCAACATAATGCATGCAATGCCACTCGGCTCCCCCCTCCCTTTCTCAGTGTTCATGGCTGGGGATTTTGGGATTTGGAGTTCCAACACATCTGGAAGCCACCAGGTGGAGGAAGAGGGAACTGGCAGGTCACGATTTTGACAGTGATTCCTATTGTAAAATTGGCTTCCATTTTTTTCCATTCCCAACCTTCTCTGCAAGGGCAAGAATCAGCTTGAAACTGACTAGAACTGAGCAGGTGGGGGAATAAGTAGGACCTGAGGTGGCCGGACCAACCTTGAATCCATGCCTGAATTTATCTGGTTGGCTGGCTGACTGGTTTCTTTCTCTGCCTCAGTTCCACCTTTATAAAATGGGAGGGGTCTGTCTCAAATGTCCAGATTTTATTGTGTGGTACTTTACATATTTGAAGCAGTGTATGGTAGAACTGTATGTCTAAATGGTGATTTTTTTTTAAAAAAAAGGAAACCCACTTGCTCGTCCATGTATCTGTGTAGAGCAGGAATATCCAACCTTGGTGACTTCAAGGTTGAGCTTGTGGGCTTCAACTTCCAGAATTCCCCAGCCAGGCTGGCTGGGGAATTCTGGAAGTTGAAGTCCACTGGTCTTAAAGCCACCAAGATTGGACACCTTTTGTGTTCTGCGGATGTTCTTCCGGACCAAATCCCAGTTGGGCTCTTTCTATTGAACGTTTTCTCTATGATGAGTGGGAGAGTCCACCACAAATGGAAGTTGTGTGTTCATCCAGGCAGCGGGCATCTCAAAGTTTCCTCTACTGTCCAGGGTTTTGCAGTAGAATTCACTAGGTTTGTTAATAAAGGCATCAGTCCAAGCCTCCTCTATTTTGCGAGCTGCTTCCGCTTCAATCACTTCCCCACCGTCTTTTTTTTGTCTCACAATCTCATTCCTGCTTTGCATTCTCTCTGGGAGTGGACGCCCACGAAATCCTGTCACCAGCAACCGCCCTTGCGTATCACGTGCGTGAGGTTGTCATGGCCCGTTGTGACATTGTCGTAACATCTACCGGGCACCTGCTCCAGAAAGGACCGTACAATTTCTGAGGGCAGGTTTGAAGGGTCCCCGGTGTGTATATTTATGCATGTGTTGAATCATCGCAAAGTGAAAACGTTCCCTCTAGGAAGCGCTTCGGGGTTCTTCTTGCAGGTTTTCTATTTTAAGGTGGTCACGGGTTGTTTTTGTTAAAAACAGGCCACAGCTTTATCTCACATAATACTTGAAATAGTTGGTCAATCTATCTGGTTGTTGTTTCACTCTCTGAGTAACTCAGTGGTATCCCAACTTTGGCCACTTTAAGACCTGTGGACTTCAACTCCTAGAATTCTGGGAGTTGAAGTCCACAAGTCTTCAAGTCACCAAGGTCCCTGGTGTGGATGAATTTCTCCTTCTCTTGCTTTTTACAGCTTCTTTTTAAATGCTTCTCTGTGGCTTCCTCTCCCCCTTCTGGACTTAGATATAATTTTGATTATTTTTTAACAATTTGAAGGATGATGTGTAAACCCAACCCACTTCTCAAAATTACCATTTGGGTACTGCCCTGCTAGCTCAGTTATACTCTTGAGTTCACTGGCCAAAATTGAAGTATCCCCTGTCAGGGATGTGTTTTAGGTGGTACCATAACCATTCTAGTAATTACATCGCAAAGTTTATTCGATTCTTTGTGTTCTCCTTATGCTAATTCTTTTCTGCAGGACCATTATCATGTTCTTGTAAACTTTCTTGATTCCTCTCTAACTCATTGTTTCCCAACCTTAGCCATTTTAAGATTTATAGACTTCAATTCCCAGAATACCCCAGCCAACAATAGGTTATTCTGGGAGTTGAAGTCCACACGTCTTAAAATGGATAAGGTTAGGAAACACTGCTTTAATTCTGTTCAAGAGGTACACAGATCTTGATTAGTCTGGAGCCTGATCTCCAGTATAAAATGAAGGCCAGATTCCCACCTCCAGTCAGTGCTGTCTTCTGTTCAAGAGTTTTTATGTTTTAGATTAATTTACTTTAATTTAAAGTTAATCGAAGCCAAAGATTCCCTTCCCTGGTGTAGACAGGTTTCTGAAATCTTGTTAGTACATAGATTTGTTTTCTCTTTAAATCAAGCCCAAATATCAAAATCCCGAGAGATGGCTGTCTGTGCCTTGAGCAGTGGAGACTTTAAAATCATTTGACCTATCTTTTGCAGAGGTTCTGTGTTCGATTCAGCACAGTGCCGGCTTTCCCTGATTTTTCAGTAATGAATAAGATGCAAATTCAAGCAGAGGATTTTTTCCCCCCAAGTAGCCTGACTTTGTTTTTAATTTACCAACTGTTGTGTGTTGCCACAATACCTTCAGCAGCTGTTTCTTCAGACTTTTCTAACTTTGTCAAAATCTTGGCAATAGATATTAATGCGTTTGTGGTATGTATAAATATGGCCCAAAATGTATTATACCCCAGAATTAATGTTCCCCAAAGTTATGGTCAAGCTGTATTTCAGTCATCCATTTGGTGAAACCTAACATCCCCTTTGAAAGCCAAAAGAAGTTACTGAGATCCAAGATGGCCCTCAATCAGTATATGCTTTTTTTTAAAGAAAGTCCACTGATCTTGGTTTATGAGAAGACCCAGTGCCAATAAATTTGAAGCCAGAACTTTGCCAGTACATAATATTTGCATTTTCTTTTTCTCTGATTCAACTAAACATGATAAGTTTCCCAAATTGTTTTCTGATTTGGCAGTCTTGCCAACATATATATTGCTGCTAAATTTTCTGACCCTTTGCACTTAGCAAATTGCTCATGTATCCTAAACCTGAAAACTCATCCAGATGACATTCAGATTTTCTTTTTGAGTAGCCAAATTTCTCTTGATTATTCTTCCTCCTCTTCCTCCTCCTCCATCTCCTTTCTTCTCTCCTACCTTTGTTTCATTCATGTTCTCCTTTCTGTCTCCATCTCTCTTCCTCCTCTTCCTCCTTTTTCATCTCCTTTCTTTCCTCCTACTTTCACTTCATTCTTTTTCTCCTTTTTCTCTCTCCATCTCTCCTCCTCCTTTTTCTTTCTCTGTCTTCTTTCTTCTTTGTCCATCTTCTCCTCCTCCCCTTCTTTTACCTCCCCTTCATTCTTTTTCTCCTTTTTTTTCACTGTTTCCATCTTTTCCTCCTTCCCATTCCCCTTCCCTTTCCTCCCCTTCTACATAAATTAGGAGCATTTGCTTAAAAGGGTAAGAGGAATACAGGGCTTTTACTAGCAAGCTGAGAGGCTTCATTAAAAATCTCACATATGTAGGAACTCTTGAGTTTTATATTTGTAGATACAATTATGTAAATATCTTCAAAGCAGTTATGTGTATACCTTGCCCTATCTTATGCTTGCAGCAGCTATAATTTGTGGTCGTTTTAGTTTAGCATCCTTTGTTTTTATGACTTTGGATAATGACCCTGATCGGGGTGGGATATGATAGGGTTAACTACAGGGTTGGGGATTTACAAGCTTCCCTGCACGGCAATCCTCACGCAGCCTTTGAAACAGCCCCCTTTTCCTGCTTTTTTAACTGCAGCTGTGCCTCATTCGGCAGCTGAAGTTGAAAAAAAAATCAGGAAATAAAGGTCAGGTAAAAGCCCTGGTGGGCAAAAACATCAGCAGACATAGAACCGGTTCTATGTCTGCTGCTCTTCAGAGCTACCGGTTCTACAGAGGTGGACAGAACCGGTAGAAACCCACCCCGACCCTGGCTGTGTACACAGAAAGATACCCTGTGGAATCGCATAGCTTGCTTGCTCAGCATTCTCCAGTCCTGTGCTCTCTCAGACAGAACCTAAGTAAAATCTGGAGTCTAACTCTGGCTCACGTCCTGCCAATCATCTGCAAATATACATTTCTTCAGCTCATGCTCCAAGCAGGAATGATCTCAAGCATCCCTGAATTAGGATTCTTTTATGGCTAAATAAAAAAAATGGGGCTTTCCAGAAGAATCCATGATGAAAGGGAGGCCTTCAGAGATGACCTGAGAAACAGCTGAGAATTAGACGTACGGAGTACCGTTATATTGAGATCCTTGTCTAAAGATCGTGTCCTGCTTTTTCATTCCTCCCGCTGTCATCACCACCATCCAAAGGAAAATTTATATATACTTTTACTGGAGGCGATCAGCACAATCATTTTAACTGCACCGTGCAGGTCACAAGAAGTTATCCCGTTGGAGATATTTTGAACCACTTTTTTTAAAAAATGTCTCTTTGGGAAGTTAGGGATGACCTAAACTTGAAGCTCTATCAAGCAACCAGCCCTTCAGATGTTAGGTTTTTCTTGTTGGGTGTGGATGTTGTCTCTGTGTGAATGTATGCCAGCTTCATCTTGTTAAGCAGTTGTTCCAGTCATCCCTTCCTCATATGCCTGCTCTTCTTAAGGTTTGCTGCTTTGGGGGGTGGGTGGGGGTGAATTTATTTCCCTAGTAGTTAGTTCTCAGTCAATTTTAGGGGGTCTCATATATTTAAGGAAAAAGTTTGATAGTCTAAGGCAGGGCTCTTCAAACTTGACAGCTTGAAGACTTGTGGACTTCAACTCCCAGAATTCCTCCTCCAGTCATGTTAGCTCAGGAATTCTGGGAGTTGAAGTCCACAAGTCTTAAACTTGCCAAGTCTGAAGACCCTTGGTCTAAGGTAAGGATCTCCAACCTTGAAGACTTGTGGACTTCAACTCCCAGAATTCCTCAGCCAGCATGGGAATTCTGGGAGTCCAAAGTCCACATGTCTTCAAGGTGCCACGGTTGGAGGTTCCTGGACTAAGGGGTAGTTGGCCAGTATATCTGTTTTACAGTGTTGGTTGGGTTCAGTAACGTTGCAAAAACAAGGCTCTGAAACAGCAACATTGGGTGTGCGCACATCTTTCACTTAATGCCGATTTTTAGATTTTACTGTGATCTCTTCTTGAAATCCATGTAACCTGTCGAGGTAACTGTTTTTTTTTTGTTGTTCTCCTTTTTGCACTTGTATTTGCGGGATGGGAGAAAGGGGGCGGGGGGAATCCCAACGTGTTAAAAAGTAAAAAATAAAAACAAAAAGTGAATTATTAAAAAGGAAGAAAAAACAATCAAAGTATAGATGCATTTGAAAAGCAATTATATAAATATATATATATACATAGAATACCTATCTATATATATATTTTGTTATGTTATTTAAAGGGTCGTCCTTTAAATTGTATGTAAGTAGCTGTGGCTGTAAGCACTTTGTGGATTGTTAACACACGCAGGTCCTGAGCTCCTGTACATACCTCCAGTTCCAGAAGGAATTCTATTATGTTTTAGCATGGTAATTTATGTATTGTATGTCTGAGTAGGAACTTAAAAGTGAAAAATAAATAAATAAATAAATAAATATTGGTAAATTACCAGAAACCAAGATTGTAAAATAAATGTTTTCATGGCAAAAAAAAAACCCAACCCAAATCTTGGCTTGATTTGCATTTTTTCCCCTTCTTTCGTACAATCTTTGCTGTTTTCTAGCCCATATGGATTTTAATTGAAGAGGGAATCCATAAGTGGTAGCCGGGTTCATTGTACAGACAGTCCTCGACTTACAACCATTTGTTTAGTGACTATTGGTAGTTACAACAGCACTGGAAAAAGTGACTTATGTCCAGGTTTCACACTTAACGACCGTTGTGATTGTTCTGATCAATATTTATAACCATTGCACTGTCCCTGGGGTCACATAATCTCCTTTTGCGACCTGACAAGCGAAGTCAATGGGGAAGCCAGATTCACAACCGTGTGACTCACTTAACTGCAGCGATTCGCCTAGCAAGAAAGGTCAAAAAATGGGTCATAATTAACTCAACAAACTTCTTAGTAACAGAAATGTTGGACTCCATTGCAGTCGTAAGTCGAGGATTATCTGTACTGGCTGAGGAATTCTGGCTGAAAAACACAAACCGCCAGTCAAGCTCAAACTGTAGGAAATAAAGAGAAAGATTCTTCTCCATATTGCTCAGCAACTAAGCACCTTCCATCCTTGTGGATAAAAGTAGAATTAACTTAAATTTCTCCCCAAAAGAAAGCGAAAAAGCAGCCACTTCAAATTCCTTGCTCCCCTTGTCTCAATTGCAAATTTCAGCCATTGATTTGGAGCCATGATGGCACAGTGATTAGAATGCAGTGTTGCAGGCTAACTCTGCGCACTGCCAGCAGTTCGATCCTGACCAGCTCAAGATTGACTCAGCCTTCCATCTTTCCAAGATCATTAAAATCAGGGGTGGGATTCAACCGGCGTTACTACCGGTTTGGTGATTATGTTTTGTGGCAGCCCCTCAAATAATGGAACCCTGCTATCACGTCACCCCCGGTCCTAGTCTCTTCTCTGGCTTCCTTCCAAAATTTTAATCCTGGCTTCCACCTTTGAGACACCAACTTTTGCATCGGAGCTGAAATAACAGATAGCTGATCATCGGAGTTGGAAGGGATCTTGTAGTTCATCTAGTCCAACCCCCTGCCCAAGCAGGAGACCCTACACCATTTCTGACAGAAGGCAGTCCAGTCTCTTCTTGAAAGCCTCCAATGATGAAGCTCCCACAACTTCCAAAGGCAAATTCTGTTCCATGGGTTGATTGTTCTGTCAGAAAGTTTCTCCTTATTTTCAGGTTGAATCCTTGTTCAGTTTCCATCCATTATTCCTTGTCTGGCCTTCGGGTGCTTTGGAAAACAGCTTCATCCTTTCCTCCTCCTCCCTGTGGCAGCCCCTCAAATATTGGAAGATGCTCTCCTGTCTCCCCTGGTCCTTCTCTTCCCTAGATTAGCCAGGCCCAGTTCCTGTAACCGTTCTTCATATGCTTTAGCCTCCAGTCCCCTAATCATCCTGGTTGCTCTTCTCTACTTTTTCTAGAGTCCCAACATTTTTTTTATAGTGTGGTGACCAAAACTGGATGCGGTACTCTAGGTGTGGCCTTACTAAGGCTTTATAGAGTGGTATTAGTACCTCACCTCATCTTGAAATGGCCCTTTAAGACCGAGTTGAAACCTAAACCACTGGTGGGGAGAGCATATGAGACACCGCGGTTATATTTCTGGAGCCTTCAAGTGACATGTGGCAGATCCCTGGGGAACCCCAAGCCGTCAGGTGCTTCTGGTCTTCTCCAGCTTTTTCACACCTCCTTGCCCTGCAAGGACACACAAGAAGGAGCTGCCCCTCCGCGAACGGCTGCCTCGAACCCTTGCCATGTCGAAGCACATGGAGTACACTTCCTACCCAAGAGATTGTCCCACCATGGAGAACTTGGAGAGGCAACTCATCTGCCCCATTTGCTTGGAGATGTTCACCAAACCTGTGGTCATTCTTCCATGCCAGCACAACCTCTGCCGGAAATGCGCCAATGACATTTTTCAGGTTAGTTGTTGGTGTTGGTGGGGAAACCTTTCGAAGCAGGGGATAATTGTTGGAACAGTTTGACTCTCCGAATTGGAGAGCAGAGTTGGGTCAACCCTTTGGGGAGTTGGGATGGTGCCTTCAGAGGTTTCCAAGGATCACAGCGGATGGGAGAACGAGGTGGTTGGGAATGTATTATGTGTGTTTCAGGGTGGCTGGGATATTCTGTTATTCAGAGGATAGATACAGTTGTCCATTTAAAAAAA